GACCTAACTTGATTGCAAAAACTATTTTGGACTCTGCTTTAGGGTCTACTCTATCATTCTCAACTTTCAAAAAATCCCTACAAAGTACCATTAATTTTTCACGAATTTTCCAATAAATTATCGACTTCCCCCGTAACGAATCTCCCAGACCTAACTTGAATGCAAAAACTATTCTGGACTCTGCTTTAGGGTCTACTCTATCATTCTCAACTTTCAAAAAATCCCTACAAAGTACCATTAATTTTTCACGAATTTTCCAATAAATTATCGACTTCCCCCCGTAACGAATCTCCCAGACCTAACTTGAATGCAAAAACTATTCTGAACTCTGCTTTAGGGTCAACTCTATCATTTTCAAACTTCAAAAAATCCCTACAAAGTTCCATTAATTTTTCACGAATTTTCCAATAAATTATCGACTTTCCCCCGTAACAAATCTCCCAGACCTAACTTGAATGCAAAAACTATTCTGAACTCTGCTTTAGGTTCTACTCTATCGTTATCAACCTTCAAAAAATCCCTACAAAGTACCATTAATTTTTCACGAATTTTCCAATAAATTATCGACTTCCCCCGTAACGAATCTCCCAGACCTAACTTGAATGCAAAAACTATTCTGGACTCTGCTTTAGGGTCTACTCTATCATTCTCAACTTTCAAAAAATCCCTACAAAGTACCATTAATTTTTCACGAATTTTCCAATAAATTATCGACTTCCCCCGTAACGAATCTCCCAGACCTAACTTGAATGCAAAAACTATTCTGGACTCTGCTTTAGGGTCTACTCTATCATTCTCAACCTTCAAAAAATCCCTACAAAGTACCATTAATTTTTGACGAATTTTCCAATAAATTATCGACTTCCCTCCGTAACGAATCTCCCAGACCTAACTTGATTGCAAAAACTATTTTGGACTCTGCTTTAGGGTCTACTCTATCATTCTCAACTTTCAAAAAATCCCTACAAAGTACCATTAATTTTTCACGAATTTTCCAATAAATTATCGACTTCCCCCGTAACGAATCTCCCAGACCTAACTTGAATGCAAAAACTATTCTGGGACTCTGCTTTAGGGTCTACTCTATCATTCTCAACCTTCAAAAAATCCCTACAAAGTACCATTAATTTTTCACGAATTTTCCAATAAATTATCGACTTCCCCCCGTAACGAATCTCCCAGACCTAACTTGAATGCAAATACTATTCTGAACTCAGCTTTAGGGTCAACTCTATCATTTTCAAACTTCAAAAAATCCCTACAAAGTTCCATTAATTTTTCACGAATTTTCCAATAAATTATCGACTTTCCCCCGTAACAAATCTCCCAGACCTAACTTGAATGCAAAAACTATTCTGAACTCTGCTTTAGGTTCTACTCTATCGTTATCAACCTTCAAAAAATCCCTACAAAGTACCATTAATTTTTCACGAATTTTCCAATAAATTATCGACTTCCCCCCGTAACGAATCTCCCAGACCTAACTTGAATGCAAATACTATTCTGAACTCAGCTTTAGGGTCAACTCTATCATTTTCAAACTTCAAAAAATCCCTACAAAGTTCCATTAATTTTTCACGAATTTTCCAATAAATTATCGACTTTCCCCCCGTAACAAATCTCCCAGACCTAACTTGAATGCAAAAACTATTCTGAACTCTGCTTTAGGTTCTACTCTATCGTTATCAACCTTCAAAAAATCCCTACAAAGTACCATTAATTTTTCACGAATTTTCCAATAAATTATCGACTTCCCCCCGTAACGAATCTCCCAGACCTAACTTGAATGCAAATACTATTCTGAACTCAGCTTTAGGGTCAACTCTATCATTTTCAAACTTCAAAAAATCCCTACAAAGTTCCATTAATTTTTCACGAATTTTCCAATAAATTATCGACTTTCCCCCGTAACAAATCTCCCAGACCTAACTTGAATGCAAAAACTATTCTGGACTCTGCTTTAGGTTCTACTCTATCGTTATCAACCTTCAAAAAATCCCTACAAAGTACCATTAATTTTTCACGAATTTTCCAATAAATTATCGACTTCCCCCCGTAACGAATCTCCCAGACCTAACTTGAACGCAAATACTATTCTGGACTCAGCTTTAGGGTCTACTCTATCATTCTCAACTTTCAAAAAATCCCTACAAAGTACCATTAATTTTTCACGAATTTTCCAATAAATTATCGACTTCCCCCCGTAACGAATCTCCCAGACCTAACTTGAATGCAAAAACTATTCTGGACTCTGCTTTAGGGTCTACTCTATCATTCTCAACTTTCAGAAAATCCCTACAAAGTACCATTAATTTTTCACGAATTTTCCAATAAATTATCGACTTCCCCCCGTAACGAATCTCCTAGACCTAACTTGAATGCAAAAACTATTCTGGACTCTGCTTTAGGGTCTACTCTATCATTCTCAACTTTCAAAAAATCCCTACAAAGTACCATTAATTTTTCACGAATTTTCCAATAAATTATCGACTTCCCCCGTAACGAATCTCCCAGACCTAACTTGAATGCAAAAAACTATTCTGGACTCTGCTTTAGGGTCTACTCTATCATTCTCAACTTTCAAAAAATCCCTACAAAGTACCATTAATTTTTCACGAATTTTCCAATAAATTATCGACTTCCCCCGTAACGAATCTCCCAGACCTAACTTGAATGCAAAAACTATTCTGGACTCTGCTTTAGGGTCAACTCTATCATTTTCAAACTTCAAAAAATCCCTACAAAGTTCCATTAATTTTTCACGAATTTTCCAATAAATTATCGACTTTCCCCCGTAACAAATCTCCCAGACCTAACTTGAATGCAAAAACTATTCTGGACTCTGCTTTAGGTTCTACTCTATCGTTATCAACCTTCAAAAAATCCCTACAAAGTACCATTAATTTTTGACGAATTTTCCAATAAATTATCGACTTCCCTCCGTAACGAATCTCCCAGACCTAACTTGATTGCAAAAACTATTTTGGACTCTGGTTTAGGTTCTACTCTATCATTCTCAACCTTCAAAAAATCCCTACAAAGTATCATTAATTTTTCACGAATTTTCCAATAAATTATCGACTTCCCCCCGTAACGAATCTCCCAGACCTAACTTGAATGCAAAAACTATTCTGTACTCAGCTTTAGGGTCAACTCTATCATTTTCAAACTTCGAAAAATCTCTACAAAGTATCATTAATTTTTCACGAATTTTCCAACAAATTATTGATTTCCCCCCGTAATGAATCTCCCAGTCCTAACTTGACTGTAAAAACTCTTCTGAACTGTGCTTATGGGTCAACCGAACTCTATCATCCTCAAATTTCAAAAAAATTGCACAAAGCATCAATATTTTTCCACAAATTTTCAAACAAATTATCGTTTTTCCCTCGTAGTAACTTTTCCAGACCTAACTTAACTGGAGCAAATATCCTCGAATGTGCCTGAGGGTTATTTCTACTTTTTCCGAATCCCAGAAATCCCCTACATAATATAAAAATTGTATTTGATTGAATTTCACGGTTTTTTAATTTTTCTTTTCAATAATTATCTGGTCGACTGTAATATACACGAATCTGGATATGAATATGAAGCTAACTTCAGCTACGTTATATTACCATCGTTTAGCAGAGGGATAAGCCCTTGAACTAGTTTCAAAATCAGTGGGGGATCAACGAGGGGATCAATGATTGGAAACATCAGGAAACTTAATAAAGAGTGGGTAGATTTTTTATACTTTTTCTTCAGATTCTGGATATATGGGATCCCTCATTTATTGAGAGGGAGTCAACAGGGCGTTCTACGTTCTAGAATACTGCCTCAAATTGGTTTTGAAATCGGTAGGAAATGAAGGCCCAAAAATATCAAAAAGTTTAACAAAAATGAGCCCAACCCTGCAACCCCTATTGATTTTAAAACTAAAGGCAGTATTCTACTTACATTGAATTCTATAACATTCTCTCGAGTCCTTGTTGAAAGATGGTAGTCGTACACCCAATCCAAAACCTCAAGAAAGAAGATAAAAATCTTGATTTTATGGAGTTTTTTCAGTGCCATTGTTCATTCACATATGTATTCGCGCAAACGTTGTCACAAATTCATTTTCCAGAGCTATAGCAGCCGACGTTTGCAACGTCCTGTGGATGCAGTTTTTGGAGGTAGATTTCTTTACTGAAGCCCAGTTTTTGAAAATAGATAAAATGCGACTTCTGCAATTAAGTATTGTTTTATTTGAAGCTTCTGTGAAATATATATTTGGGAGCAAAAATGTATAAAAATCTTCTCCTATCCTATAAAGTTAAAAGTTAGGCGCATAACATTTGAAAATTATTCATATAGGTACTTTACCTACCTATAGGAAGGTATATAGCTACATTTTTTTTTATTCTACGAAAAAAACCTAAGAAATTGATTACCCAGACATCACAGAGACATCATAAAAACGCACCCAAAATGTCCACAAACGACATTCAAGACATATTTTAAACGTCTGCTTAGGTACGTCCTTAGACCATATAACACAGATTATTACCTACTCATTTTATACCTTCCAATTTTTGTCTTGCGAAGACCGCAGTCCTATATTCAAAATAGTCTCGAGAAAATTCCTTGTGAAGATAAATTATGCAGGAACTTGTGACGTTACAACCGCCGAAATCGCAGTTTTCTGGTCGTTCAGTCGTCAGTGAACCGTACCCTATACTTTGAGTGGTTGCAGTTCTCTCTAGTGAGATAATTGTCTTTTGTTTTGGAAAATTTTTACACATGTTAATACTGTTCCAGATAATGAGGTGTGACGTCACAAACACCTAGTAACTCTAAACCGCCCTAACTCGAAAACGGACCATCGCAGCAAAAGAAAGCTAAGAATTTAGAATAAAGACATATTAAGGAAAAATCAAGAGCCTGGAATAGAAATAATTAATAATTCAAGAATTTGCGAATGGAAAGATATAAACATTTTCTTGATAATACTTATTTCTTTATTTATTCTCATTTTATAACTGTCAATTTTTGTCTATTCTAGGCGCTAGGCTCTCTGAAATAGTTCTGAGGTTTTCAAAATGCTGCTGGAAAGTGTTTTGGAACGTTCTAAATGGGTTATTGAAGTTCTAAAGTGTTCTAACTTGGCTTGAAGAGTTCTGGAGCATTTTAGGAGTTTTTCAGTAATTTCTACACTGTTCTGACAGATTTTTTAGTATTTTAGAGCCCTATATTGAAGTTCCAAAGTGTTCTAAATTAGTTCAGAAGAATTTTTATTTTATTTTATTTTATTTGTGGTACATCTTACAAACATCAAGCAAGTTGATAATGACAAGTAAGGGTAACTATAACTAAAATTAAAATCATTACTTACTATCTAACTTACTACTTAACAGAATCCCTAGACACTACCTAAAACTAAAACTAAGAAAAATACACTACTACAATTCATCAATATAAATTAAAACAAGATTTTAGTTCTGAAAGGTTTCCAGTTCTAAATTGAATCCTAATTGATCTGAAATAACTCTGAACTTTTTGAAAAGTAAGTAAAAAATAAAATGTAAAATAATTCATAAAATAGGTAAACTAACAGAACAAAACTTAATAATCACAAACGATACAAGCAGTAATTTAAAAGTTATCACAAGATCAACCATCCAGTATGTCACAAATACCTAGCATATAAATTTTTAGTTTTTTCTTGAAACTCAACAATGAAGTGCAGTTTTTTTATCTCTTCTGGTAGGTTATTAAACCTGTTAAATACTTTATGAAAAATTGAATTCATTGTACATTTTTTACTCTTTGGAGTTATGAAAAAACTATTTCTATTTCTGGTATTATAGTTATGCACTTCATTGTTGTAAACCATTTTGTTTATAAGGTATTCAGAAGCACATCCAATCATCTTAAAAATGAAAACCAAAGGCATTATACCTTACAAATTCCACAACCGGTAGCCATTGCATTACTCTTAACATTGAGTTTATTGGTGTATACTTGCTACAGGAAAGAATTACACGCATAGCCCGGTTCTGCAATTTTTGTAGTCTAGCCACTTCATTCTGCTTGAATAAATACACAATTGTTGCACAGAAGTTGAAGTTTCTATGGCAATTAAAAAACGTCTTCTGAAAGGCGCTTTGTAACTTTTAGCCGAACTGTTTTAAAATGCTTTTGGAAATTGTAAATCGGGTTTTGAATGTTCAGAACAATTTTAGAATGCTCCAATTCTAAAATTGTTCTGAAGTTTCCAAATTGTTCTGAAGCGCTACAGAATACTTTTGGAAATTCTTAATTGAGTTTTAAGTGTTTCGAACTTTCCAAAAGGCTTATTAAGTGTTCTGTTGCATTTCAAATAGTTTCCAGTAACTTCTAAATTCAATGAGAAAGGAATTCTGTTTTTGTAGACATCTTAAAATCGTCTCTAAGATGGTCACAAATGACATTCAAGACGTTTTTAAGACGTCTGCTGACGTGTTCAAATGCATCTTAAAGACAAAATGTGGCTTAGTTGCTCTTAAGATGTGAATTTATGGACGTCTTTTTTTCGTCTTCAGACGTTCAGATACAATGAAGACCTAAAAAAAGACATCTGCAAGACTTTGTGTGCTCTCTGGGTAAGTATATTCTATTCAAAATATTAAACTAAAAACGTTAGTGTACATAAGTAATTATTCTTAAAAAAAAAATTAAAAGTATAAATAGGTCAAATGGATTCTATCTAGGTGGCGAATCTAAAATACTATCAGTCCTTGCAATTTTATTACGCGGTGACTCTATGAAAATTTCATTTTGTCTGCTACTGTTGCCTTTTTCTGGATGTACCACATTGAATAGTTTTGGCGACTCTACTGTGTTACTACCAGCGATATTATTGACTTTTTTAGTTTCATTCTCCACCAACTTTTTAATGGTTGCTGAAGCATCAGGATCATTGAGCCAATCCACACATATGTGAATATTTTTTGGCTTCAATAAATTTATGAGAGCAAGTCCTTCTTCATAAGAAGCATGAGTTGAGTAGCAAACGTAAAATATGCCGTCATTATCAATTTGAGAAATGCCACTTACTAAATCTTCATCCCGCCATCGGAGAGCAGATAATTTAATTATTCTCATTTTGTCTTTATTACTATCATCACATATATCTTTTTGATCAAATCGGCAATTATGAATTTGTGTTTTAGAACCATCTTTAGTCACACAATATTCCAATTCAGGTATTATAGAATAAAAACTATATTTCTCTTCATCTACGTGGACTGGCATTTTGAAATTTTCATAAATCTCTTTAAAAACATATTCATAACCATATTTGGCTCGAACGTCTAGTTTAATACAGTTTTCAGGGTTCAAAGATATCCATTTTGAAATTATTTTGCAAAGTTCTGAAAGGCTTTCTTCTCGTGTAGGTAGAAATGAATACGACTTCATGAAAAATGTTGTATCTAAATAAATTGTATTTATGGGTTTGACTTTACCAAATGTATCATAAAAACATTTAAATTTTGTTATATCTTCAGGATCAATTCTAAAATCTCCTGTACATAAAATATTCACCTGTTTAGTTTCAAAAAGAAACATAACTGAACCCGGACAATGACCTGCTGGAATACATGTCACAGAAATATTATTATTTTCTACAGATATAGAAGAGATTTGTTCCAATGGCAATTCTTTAATTTGTGTTGAAATATTGGGTACCAGCTTACGCAATATTATAGCAGACAAACTGCTCAAATACAAAAATCGATTTTCTGAAATCAATTTTTCTTGGAAACCTACCGCAAGCAGGCCTTTCATGTGATCTGCATGGCAATGTGATAAGAAAAAAGCTGAAGAATACAAATTTTTTCCATCAAAACGATCTACGCTTATGCCAGTAATTTCTCTTATAATGCCATCAAAGGTGCTCATCTTTTACATTCAAATTTGGCACCAGTTGATGTGAGTGTTAGTCAATAGATGGCGCCCTAAAAAAAAATTATATAGTGAAATTAAATTAATTTCTGCCATAAATATTTTTCTCCCAATTAATTAAAAAGTATTTTATTAGGTTTACAAATAATTTATTTATTGTATTATACATTATTACCTTTGGAATTAAATTTTTGTTTTCAAATTCTCCGCCCAATAGTTAACCGGATGCGTTGGGGGCGGCGCTGCGGGCGCGCGGCGCAACTCAGCAACATGGCTGGATGTTTTCGTGTTTTGGCGGTATGGTGGCTCTCGTTGTTAGTGAAATTTTAGGTTAATTCTAGCTATAACCTCTAATTTTTCGTAATCCGGGCCTAAAAAATAATTGTTTAGTATTATTTCGGTGAATTTTAAGACTAGTTAAAAACCCAATAGCTTACCGTAACGAAACAGCTTGTAGGGAAGGCAAATTCCTCGGAATCGCGACGTCAAATGAGAGCAGCCATTTGCCTATTCTCGGTCTCGGCCTCTGCAGTTGTGCAGTTCCAGCCAAAGTGCGACGATGGCGTTTTAGACCTTTTGTTTAGGATTATTCCGATTTTATTTTGAGGTAAGTGATTTATTTTAACCTAATTTGTCTGTTCGTCAACTGCAAGGTATCTTCAATCAGGAAATGTTCAGTATAATCTCTTGGGCGTGCCAATAATTACCAAATTCGGTTGTGATGCAATTAAAATTTTCCTTTCTTTTTAAAAGTTGATTCATTTTAATGGACGTTTGTTAGGAATAATCAGAAGCGCATTATACAATGCAAAGGTATTAATAATTAATAACTCTCTCGACGACTAATTTTTGGTGTTCTATACTTTTTGTTTATGTTTTTAACAAAAACGGTAACCTCAGATTCTACATATAACCTCACTTGTCTTGTCTTTTTCCGTTTTCCCTGTAACCCTACATTTCTTAAAAGTCAACAACTTTTTGGGAAAGGTCGGGAAGATGGAATTGATTGAATTATAAATATATTCTCAACTTGGGGCTGTTGAAAGTTTCTTTTAACATTTGGACAAAATCAATAGTTTGTGTCATTTCATTTAAATTTCTCATTAGTGAAAACTGTTGTAGTGTCCTTTGTTCTGTGGTATATACTTAACAAGGTAGGTACTAAATAAAATAACGTTTGTTTTGTGCATTGAATTGATCTCCCCTTTTTGGGAGTGACTACTCCACTGTCTAGACAGTGGTGACTGAAAACTATCTGCAGTGACCAGACAGTGCCGACTAAAATTTATCAGCACTGTCTACACAGTGCCGACTGAAATCTATCTGCACTGTCCAGACAATTTCATAAACATATAAAGTTACAGTTATATTCAAAATAGCTTGCATTCCTTTCTGGGTTTTGGTGTATTGATAGTTATTTTTGTATTACATGGGCAAAATGAATGCTTTTTTAATTGTACCTAAGAGTGTCAGTTTTCACAGGTCAGGTCAAGGCCAAAAATTCATTCGAAGGGGCCTGTGCCTATAAACGCGAACGTCGCATACACAAACAACATTTCATTTTTCCTACTAGCACTGTCTGGTCAGTGCAGATAGTATTCACTCAACACTGTCTGGACAGTGCAGTAGTCATTCCTTTTTTTTTGTATTTCGTTTTCAGTGATTTTTTCTCGCTCTCTCGATACATACATCTTATGCTTATACTGTTCCCCAAACACAAACATTGTATGTTTTAGCTACAATTTTGAGCTTCTTTTATCTAATATTCCACCTAAACCGAAACTGATAGTTGCAGGGCACTTATGGCCGTTTACACCAACTATTTTAGGGGAGCTCTAAGGATAAGTATTCCCTAACATCTCATTTTTACATGGAGAAATGTCAGTTTAAGGCATACCTCTCCTTGGGGCTTCCCTGAAATAGTTGGTGGAAATGGCCATTAAACATAGATTATCTGAAACCTGAGGAACATTCGACCATCCTCTTATTAGTCTGCTTGAAAGAACCTCCATATATGCAAATAAAAAATCCTTGAAAAATTCCAACAAGATCAACTAATTCTATCTCTACCACCATTGAATAGAATAGAATAGAATAGTAGCTTTATTTCAAATTAAGTTTTTACAATACATATTACAGCATTACAAAATAACATGAAATGAAATGGCGTCACAAAACAATATACTTAAATTACATATCCAAGTAATCTTTCACACAATATGGTTCTATGTCTATTAACAATTTCTTGGTTTTATTTTTAAATTCCTTGTAGTTTTCTATTATTTTAAAGTCGTTTGGTAATTTATTAAATATTTTAATACAGTTATAAGATGGATTTTTTTCACTTAAAGTTAATCTATGAATAGGATAATAAATATCTGTGGTCCTTGTATTGTATGTGGTGTTAGTGTTATGTATTAAAAATTCATTTTTGTTTTTATGCAAATATAAGAGGCACTCGTGTATGTATAGACCATAAACTGTTAAAATACCCAACTCCCTGAATTTGCCTCTACAGGAGTCTCTGAAGCTCATGTTAAGCAATAACCTGATAGTTCGCTTTTGGACTACAAAGACTGATTGTGTTGAAGAACTGACTCCCCAGAAAATGATACCGTACCTCATCCGAGACTCAAAATTTGCATAGTAAAGGATTTTTTTAACTTTGTCTTCTACATATCTGTTTAGTACTCTGAGTGCAAAACAAACACCGTTCAATTTTTTCACTAAACTTTCAATGTGTGTTGACCATTTTAGAAATTCATCAATTATAACACCTAAAAATTTAGTGTGCTCTGATATGTCAATTTCCTGATTATGGATACTTATTGCTGATGGTTTCTCTTTTAGTTTATTAGTGCGAAAAATCACAATGCTTGTCTTGCTCTCGTTTATAACTAGTTCATTTTTCTCAAACCAATCCTCTGCTCGAGAATATAGCTCATTGCTTTTTTCTTCCAAGTCATGCCGATCCACTCCGGCGACCAGCAGATTGGTGTCATCCGCATAATTTGTTATTGCAGACTCTTCCAATCCGCTGCACACCGAACTCAGATCGTTTATCATGACCAGGAATAGTATCGGCCCTAGTATGCTCCCCTGGGGTACTCCCACCTGATTTTGCAGCCATCCTGATCTAGATGAGTTATTGTTCCTATGAATTTCCACACATTGCCAGCGATCTGATAAGTATGAGGTCAGCCAACTCAGAGCTCTTCCCTTTATACCATAATTTTTTAGCTTTTCTTTTAAATAGTTTCTGTTTAGGCAGTCAAAAGCCTTTGATAAGTCGATGAATAGCCCAGCAGCTAATTTATTTTCTTCAAGAAATTTGAGTATATTATATGTAAATTGAAAAATTGCTGTATTTGTCGATTTACCCTTTAGATATGCATGTTGTGATGAACTAACCAGATTACATTCATTAAAAAAACTTAACAGTCTAAGGGACATTGCCATTTCAAAGATTTTTGAAAAGCTATTTAGCAAACTTATGGGTCTGTAATTTTCTAATTTTTCTGGATCTCCTGACTTAAAAATCGGTTTTATGAGAGTTACCTTTAGCTGGTTAGGAAAAATGCCAAATTTGAATGAATTATTTATAACATAACAAATAACTATCTTTATACTTGGAATGCTTAGTTTAACAATATTCACGGGAATTTCATCAATGCCACTACTTAGTTTATTTTTAAGTTTTTGAGATATTTCTATTATTTCTTCTGGGATAAAAGGTCTTATATATAAAGAAGCATTGTTTTTTATGTTGTCACAATTGAAATTTTTACTGTTCTTTATTAGATTTGGAATTAATTCGATTAGAAAGTTATTGTAATTATTGGCTATTGATTCAGGTGTCCCCCGGATTTGGCAGTTTGCATTTCTGGGAGAGTTGCCCTGAATGTCGTTGCATACTGTCCACATTGCTTTATTTTTATTATCTGATGATCTTATTTTGTTATTATAATGGTTTTTTCTCGATTCAACTAAGATTTTATCATAACTTTTTTTTTCAGCTTTGTACAATTCTTTAAAACTACTATCAGAATTGCTTAATCCTAACAATAAATCTAAATTTTGCTTACATGCTGCCAGTTCAGGGTTGCAATAAAACATCTTATTTTTCGATTTATGTCTTACAGTTTTTTTTGGAAAGTGCTCATTGAAAAGTTTTAAAAAAATTGAAGAAAAATTATCCCACTGACTATCTACATTGTGAGCCTCTATTTTATAAACTGATTCCCAGTTTTCCTGTCCTAGCTTATTTACAAACTCTAGTTTTGACTGTTCTGAATATGTTCTCACTAATTTACTTGGAATAGTTTTGTTGTTTTGTATGTTAAAAGAAATTTTTTGTGCAAAATGATCAGAAATATGATTTGAAATTATAAAACTATTTACATGGTACTTAATATTACTAAATATATTATCTATGCTGCTTTTTGTATTATTTGTTATCCTTGTGTACTCTTCTATATGTTTATGTAATGAGAAAGAATCAAGAAGTGATAAAAACTCTGTTTTATATTTATTGTCAGTCTTAAGTTCAATGTTGAAATCACCACCCAAGACAATTGTTTTATTCTCACCCTGTATACTATTTAAAAGTTTTTCTAACAGTTCTAAAAATGTTTCTTTGTTACCTTTACATGGCCTGTACATTGCTATTGCTATAAATACTTCTTTGTTGATGGAGCATTCTACTGCTGCACATTCCATTTCACCTTTTACTGAGAAGTCACTAATTTTTTTCCTTGGTTTATATTCAAGACTTGAATTCACAAAGACAGCTGCACCTCCATGTTCGTTTTCGTCCCTACACCATTGTGCTGCAAGATTAAAGTTTTGTATTGGTAGTAGTCTCAACTGCTCATCTGTTTTCCAGTGCTCTGTTACAAGAAAGAGCATACAATTGTTTTCTTTTTGCAAAAAATATTGGATTCTGTCCACAGCGTTGCCAAGAGACTGAACATTCTGATGGATAACACTTATGCTATGTTTTTCCTGTGGAAAAATGTTCTGTTTATTAATTTCAATTTTTTTGGTTTGTGGATGAACGTTTGGGCAATAGATTGAGCTATCTTGTATTTCTAAAAATTTCCTAAGGGCCTAGATTTTTTGTACACATTATAATTAAATCGTTTTATTCCTACATTTGCTGGCCAGAAATCTGGATTGTATAATTCATCCTTTCTAGTTAGGGGAGCAGTTACCACAAAACATTTCCAATTGTTTTTATTACTGTGAGTTATTTCTTTAACAGTAATATTTTCATCTTGAAAGTCTGGTTTCTTTCTAATATGGTTCAACACCATCGCTTCTGTGACATGTAACTGCACTCGGTTTATAAATAGCCATGCCTTTCTATCTTGTCCACTAAATCATTTTTCTTGTCCATTCTCCTCTATTTTTTCTGTTCCCAGTCTCTTAGTATAACGTCGTCGACTTTTTACTTGTACAAACTCTTCTTCGGGGCCATCACTTATATCTCCATGTACACTTTGAGCATTATCAGGTAGATCATCCCTTCTTTGTGCCAAATTAATGTATTGGTCCATCTTTTTACGTTGTTCTTTTTCTAGTGTTCTCCAGTTTGGGGTTCTTTCTTTTGCGACTTTTTCTTTGCCGGTTCCTACTATTTGGTTATAGGTTTTGCTTGAGGTTTTGTTTTTCTCTTCTGTGTTAGTACTGCTATTAGAAATTTCCCTATTTAGGACGATATTTTGAGGTATGCTGGGTTTTTTTTGCCTCATGTTTTGATTTTGAACTTGAAGAGAAAGAATATTATTGTTTACCTTTTCTTCAAGTAGGGTTATGTTTTTATAAAGTAAAATTTGTTTTTCCTTTAATTCCTTGATTAT